TCCATCAATGTTGCACTGCTGCCATCTCTTGGTCTATAAATTAACTCCTTTCCTCAAATTCTCCTCTTGAGTCCAGTATTATTCAAAAAATGACATGTCTTTCTTTTCCCTTCATCACTGTTCATCTGAGCAGCCACATTTTCAAACTTTAGTCTCCTATTACAACATATTTCTTTGACCTGCAACTAATAAAGGCATGTTCTGTGGTGGTATACCGAACCAGTAAGATCTTAAAAAGAGTGCCATTCAAAAAGCTATGACCAGTTCTTATTCTATTTATAATTATCTTCTCCTCCTATTTATTCTTTTAATTCTTTGAACATCAGTTGTATTTTGTATCCTATATAAATGTCTTATCCTTAATTTCTTGCTTTCTTTCCAAACTATACGTTTGCCTTCAGGTTTAGATAACTTTATTGGCATATCAATATTCATTACCTAAAGTACTTACATGAGCAGGAGTCCAGATTATTACTATATGTTTTGTTCACGTAGTCTGTGATGAACAAACAGAATCTCGTACAAAATGTGTTGCTGATTACTTGAACTTCCCTTTTCAATGCTTAATAGTGCTGGTAATGAATCACTGCAAACTATAATTGTACTTATTCTACTATCCTCCAGCCATTCTAAAGCCAATAATATAGCACATAATTCTATATGCTCAGAAAATTAGATGTTCTTTTCGAAATCTTAATCTTTAATTCAGGAATCACTATTAGTCGCTTCAGTTTTTGGATCTTTCGAACCATCTGTATAAATTTGCAAATTCTCACACTTATTCTCTACTCGATCGTAAAATTCGTGACAAATATCTGTAGTATTTATTTGCTTAATATTTGATAACGATCACATTTCCATGTCCATGTACGCCTTAAAGGCCTTAACACTGTTGGATTGAATTCTTTGTTATATACTTTAAATGGTCTTGCTCTATTATCCCCAATGAACGCAAAAATATTTTTAAGCTCCTTTCGTCTTTCCCAACAATTTTCCAACATTTTCTTAACTGGATGAGTTTCATGTAGGGACTTGGACTGGTCTTCTTCTGTGGGTTTTAACAGCAGCCAGTATCCTTTTAATAATAATAATAATGAATTTAATTTGTAACGCACTTTTCATTAACAAAAATCTCAAAGTGCTACAGAGTGCAACTAAAATCAATGATAAAATCAACTAAAATCTGTGATAAAATCAACTAAAATCTGTGATAAAATCAACTAAAATCAATGATACAATCAACTAAAATCTGTGATAAAATCAACTAAAATC